GCCGCCTCTCGTGGACACGTGGGAGGGAACTAAGCAGCGCCCAGGCCATCAGGAGACTTCCTCAGGTCCAGAGCAACACCCCCAGCACCACCGGGAAGTGCTTCCGGCAGTCTAACCTATGGCCTTCCTTTCCTGGGGGTCCCAGTGGACACCTGCGGAAGTCCATCTTGGTCCTTCTGCACCCCACGACTGCGTCCAACACCGCTCACCTTACTCCAAGGTCACAGACACCCGGGGACAGACACGGGCTCACACAGGCACAGGACACACGTGCTCTCCGCACAGCGGGGGATGTCGCCTGGCCAAGGTCACTACGTGGCAGACACAGGGCACTCACCAGGCACCAAGCTGACGCGGGCCTGCGGTCCGTCCTGGGGCTGGAAGCAGGACACCTGCTGCAGCTCGTCGGGGATGTCCAACACCGTCACCTCCAGCCGCGGGCACTCCCGGGCCAGCTCCCAGGCCAGGGCGCCCCTGCAGCCTTCAGGGGACCAAACACACATGTGGGGACCCTGTGGGCCCTTAGGGGCCTGGGGAGCCTGTGCTCTCCACAGGTGAACCTGACCATGTTTGAGGGTCAGCACGGAGGCCAGCAGTGCAAACTACACCTGGCAGAGGTCAGTGGGGCTGGCACGGATTCCTCCTTGAATGCAGACGTGATGGCTGGTGCTGCCGCAGCCACTCTGGCCCCCCAGGAGGAGCTGGGTGCAGAGGTTGGGGAAATGCAGGCGGGTGGCCAGGGAGGCCGCTGCCCAGTTCCCTGAGCCCATCAGGCTTCCAGGGACAAAGATGGGCTGAGTGAAAAGGATTAACTAGAAAGAACCGGACCTGGGCAGGGGCTTCCAGCCTCTGCCCCTCTGGACAGCCACGAGGAGGGGCCTCTGCAGCAGACCCGGGCCACCCAAGGGACCTCCCCCCTGGGCCCCCACCGGAGGTCCTCTGAGGCTCATGAACCGCGGCCTGCTCGGCCAGTCTCATCAGCGCCAGGTGCGGGCAGGAGGAAGGGACCGACCCACCTCCCAGGAGGCAGGCGGAGGAGAACCGCGACAGGTCGAAGGCCGAGGCCAGGCGGCGGGCGGTCAGCGTGGAGAGGGTGTGCGCGGCCTTCAGGGCCTGCAGCTGCGTCTCCCGGCAGGGGGCGCCCTAGGGCAGAAGGGGTCTGAGGGAGCTGCGGACCCGCGATCCACAGGCATCTGGGCACCTGCGTGGCCCAGCAGGGAGCTTGGGGGGCCAGGCTGGGGAGGCCGCGCAGGCCTCATCCCAGCTGCCCGGGAAGCGGAGGCAGGGAGACTCCAGTGTAGGCAGCCGCGACAGCTTGGGAGACCGTGTCTCAGAAATAAAAAGGGCTGCCAGGTGCGGTGGCTCACACCTGCCATCCCGGCTGCCCGGGAGGCTGAGGCAGGAGGTCTGCAAGCTGGAGGCCAGCCGCGACAGCTTGGGAGACCGTGTCTCAGAAATAAAAAGGGCTGCCAGGTGCGGTGGCTCACACCTGCCATCCCGGCTGCCCAGGAGGCTGAGGCAGGAGGTCTGCAAGCTGGAGGCCAGCCAGGATAACTTGGGGGAGGCCCTAAGCATTTAGTGAGACCCTGTCCCTAAATAAAAACCAACAAGGGCTGGGGACAGGGCTCCGTGCGGAGCATTCTCAAGGGGAAGAAAGGGGGCGGTGAGTTCAAGCGCCCGCGGACTGTCCCTGGATGGGGAATTCAGGTGCTGGGCGTCGGGAAGCACTGGCCGCCCACTCTGTTCCAGCCAG